ACTATTTTATTATTAGTTTATCAAGTAACATGCAATTTATAAATGTTAATGTTGATAAGACTGGACCAAATGCACTAGGGTTGAGTGTGATAGCACCTACAAGTAACAGTAATAAATTATAATTAATAGACTTAATCCAGGACACTTAAGAATTTTAATGAGAGTTTTGTAACCAAGTGTAGATAAAACACTAACCAATAATAATTGAATTTAATATCAGAAAATGATTAATAACGGAAAAATTATATACATTATTTTTTAAAAATACAAAATAATTTATCTAAAAATGTTACCCTACCCCTCTTGAGCACATAATCATCCACTTTGGGACCTTGGTAGGGTATCGCATACATGAAAAGGGGCAATATCACACAGCTTGTATAATATGTGATAACACATGGATTTAAATATAACATAATATAAATGTTATCATCATCTAAATTACTCAATGTATTAATCACAAGCTAAAAATATTCTATACGTTATCGGTTTATTATGTTGTAGTTAAATTGACATCAATTATAACTTATGCATGTTTCAACAATAAGAATCTGTAACTTTTATTAATTTTTAAAATTATCTCAATTAAAAAATAAAAGTATAAAAATCTATAAACTCATGACAAAGTTAATTTTGTCTATAAAATTTCGATAAATAGTTCACTTGATAAAATTAGACCTATTTGTACTTAAATATCATAGTATACAGATATTTAAGTAAAATTTAATTTAATTACAAGTAATTAAAAATAAATATTTGGTAATTATATGCAGAAATAATGCAAATATTATACAAAAATTATTTACTGTTATTAGAAATCTAGGAATAATTTGAATTTAAATGAAAACATAATAAATTTCTCAAAACATTTATTCACAGTTGATATAAACAATAAGCAAACAAATACTTGATTCAAAATTCAATTTTATAGTTAACATGTGATGAAATATAAATAATGACTTTTCATATGTGATAATAGGACTGGTAGTTATTATCTAATGATTTCTCAACACATTTATTGACCGGTTTTTTGTAGGCCTCGAAGTTTCCCATATATTCAGTCTATGCATTCAAAACACAATATAATTATCAGTAAAATCTCAATACAAATGATATATAATATTATTAAACAGTAATCTAATCACTACTGACCACTGCGTCCTTATTGGCTATGGACTCGGTATTGGGCGCCGTTAGCATCGAAATCATATAGTCTCCACCGTATTCACGGGTAGCCATCGCTCAGTCGCCTGTCCACTGATAGTAACATCTTTGAGCGGTGGGTCCAGTATTGAGATACACACCTTCCCGTCCGGGTATACAGTGGGCACAAACAATGGTATTAATTGGTGGCAATCAATGAGACAATGAGTGGACAGACTGTTTGGGTGCCACATGTCGCACAGGAATTGCATTGTAGGCGGACTTATGGGAAAGTCTTTGGGGAACGTGAGCTTCGCTTTAAACAGCCCGCCCTCGTATGGCGTACCCTTAGGTCCTATAAGAGTGAGTTCCCATTCAAAGACGTCGAGTCAATGAAACCGACTGAGAAGTTGTCGTTTGGATGTACTGTATATTCTTGGAGTTGTCTCTGGAGGTTAAGAGTCGCGTAATTTGCCATTTTGTCTCATGGTCTGCAGAGATTTCTGATGATACGTCGATGGTGGTGGTGATGGTGGTGGTGGTGGTGGGGGAGCATCGATGGTGCGGATCTGATACAAGTGATAATCACTACAACTATGGCTAATGTTAGCGATATTCACACAAAGACTGATCAGTGACTCAAAACACGTGCGCTTACTATCAGATCAACACAACTACTATTCACTGTTCACTGGCTATCGCTGATAGCCTATCAGTCATTCAATGGTCTCTGAGTTGTATTTGATTTACAGTATTTCAATATTTGTGATAACAGTTAACATTGACTAGCATTAGATAGCACGAGATGTACAGTACAGTCAAATATTAATTCAATGAATTTTGTACACAAAGTTCAAAGACTTTTATCTTGATAATGAATTGATACGTGAATGATAATAATAAACTCAATACAGTATTCAATATTATAGATTCTGTGTATATTTTTATTTGAATCCAATATTTATATTACTTTAAACTTTAAAAATTATAATTAGACTAAAATGATTAAAAACTAAAAATCATTACTGTTAGATATATATTTTTGTTAATTGGCAAAAATAATTACTACTGTAATACTGCCTAAATTAACTAAATAAGTTTATAAATTATGATTTGGTTGAAATGCATTTATAAATAAAATCAATTGATTATTATAAAAAACAAGTTCATGCTCAAATTTAAACGTTAAGATATAAAGTGCACATGTGCACAACTTTTGTTATAAGTTATATAATTATCTAAAATAATCTAATAACTTTGCTGTAATATAATATAATAATAGCTAAAATAAGCACAAAATATACAGGACAATTGTTACTAACATTATAAGTTAGTAAGTTATGAACACGTGATCAGATGGACCACAAAATGTTATAACATAACAATATAAATTGCATTGTTTTCTAACTGTTAGTGAAATCCATTATTAATAATATTATGAAACGTTATCTAAAACATAAAAGTGAGTCATACTTCACTCTTATCTCGAAGTTTGATAAAAGGCTCAGGGTTAATTATTGAAGTAAGCTGCTTATAAATATCAGATACTTAGAAAATGTTTGTAGACATCAGTAAATGACAGATTCTGTCACAGACACAGAATATTCATTATTAAAAACAACAAACTTTTGTTTAAAATGATTTCTATATTATTATAAACAAGTTTGTTTTAAAATTTTGATTGTACACCAATGGCACCACTCATACTAAAACAGCTAACG